TGTCTGGATACAACTCTCCAAAATATTTCCAATTTTTCTACCCTCCTCCTGATTTGGCCTCATTGAGAACTAAACCTGCCCCTTTTCCTGGAGCCCTAGAAGCTGAAGCTGGTGACCTGATATAAACTTCAAAGAAATCACCACAACAGATCATGTATGTTGTACAACTTTCATGCTTGCTATTGTGAGGGCCATTTAGAAAGTCTGCTGAAACACCCGATGCCATCACTAAGGATATTCAAACTGCAAAAGACGATTCAAGCCCATCATCTGGGTATCTTCTCAATGTCTTCCCTCTGGGCTCAGAAACTAGTTTTATCATATGCGCCGATCAATAATCTTTGTTTTTCTTTTTCTTTTCATAGAAATTCCCCTCATTAAATGCCTGACTGCTTGTGCCACCTCGCAAATATCCTCTACTTAACCAAGCCTCAACTAATAGTTCAGACGGTCCTTAAAGGACAAACGGCAACCTAATGACAGATGGACTTACTTTGTTCAAAGAAGAATGTCTCTTTCTTCAGATAAGAGCAGGGACTGACAAAGACTCTCTTCCTTAACTAATCTTCAGTCAGGTTCCTTGACTAAACAGGGCTTCCTTCCGTGGTGGCTCTGACAGTGAAGAATCCACCTGCAATGCAGGAGACCCAGTTTCAATCCCTGGGTTGGGAAGACCTCTTGGAGTTGGGAATGGCTACCCACTCCAGTATTCTTGCCTGGAGAATTCCATGGACAGAGAAGCCTGGTGGGCTACAGTTATGGGGTCAGAAGTAGTCGGACACGACTGAGTGACTAACACAAGTCAGGTTCCTTCAAACCCTTTTTTCTAGACCCCTCCTTGCCGAACTTACACTGTTCAACTGTCATAAGAATCCTGCTTTATCAATTTAGAGAGAATTTTCCATCCTTGATATCTGGTCACCCTTCATGTCTAGTAAAATTCTGTTTCCCTTGCCTGCCACCCAATACCTACCCTAGGTGATATCTGACTACCTGACAATTCTTCAGCAAGAATTGTGCTTGTTTAACCAAAATCTTTCCGCACCCCCATAGTTTCCTCTTAGTGAGAGTAATTTTCTTCCCACTGATCCCCACTCTGCTTCTTGGCCATAAATCTCCACTTGTCTTTGCTGATTGGGAATTGAGCCCAGTTCTGTACTGAGATCTCTTTTCCCTTATTGTGGTAGTTCCCGTATAAAACCTGTGTTTTTGTTTAACATGCATAATATCAATAGAATACAGTCTGGAAGAGCAGCTACTCTCATATGTGTACACTGAACAGATATTTCAGCTTTCAGTTGGCTAAAGCCCGTGAGGAACATGATGTAAGTCAGTGCTTTGTGTACATAAAGAGTGTCTGTGCGGGAACAATGCTTGGCAATTTTCTGTCCTGTTTATTACTGAAAACCCAGGGTATGGCAAAAAACACATTGGAATCAGCACTGATGGAACACAGCTGGGTGAAAACGAAGGTAGTATGTTGTATTAAATATTCAAATAAAAGATGTGTCCTGTAGTGGTAATTTATAGTGTTGCATTTACAGAGAACAGTTGGTAGTCAAAAATAGGCGTTTGGTTTTGGTTTATTGTTGGAGGAAATACTGATGGTTATTGATACTATCAAATTTTAGTTTTTTAGTACATTTAGGCCTTTTTGATATACTATGAGAAGAGTTGGTTAGCAAGTGTACTGGCTATGAGGAAAAAAGATGCTCATGTGAATTTTAAAAAGAAAGAGAGATAAAAATATTCCTTCATGATGCTGATAATTCTGATAAGACCATTTTGAGTAACTTATTGAATGACATGTCATAGCAGTGTATATATTAAAGATGTTGAATTGTTTGAAACTTTAGGCTTAAAATATCCCATTTTACAGTTTGCAGTTAAGAGATTAGGATTTCTTTTAAGAAAACTGAACTGTGGTATAAATGGTTTAAACTTTGATGTTTTCTAATATAATTCTTGTTTTGGGAAAAAATACATGATTTATTTCTATATGTGTTTTAAAGTCACATTACAATACATGCAGCATTATAGACATAATGCTTCGTAAGAAAATGAAATACTTTTTAGAACTAAATGTAGCTAGATTGAGAATCTGTTTACCCTATCTCCCAAATTGAAACAGTCCCATCTTTCCGCTTTCATTTGTGATATGCTTATCAATTAAATGCCTGATGGAGCTTTGAAACTCATCATCAGTGAGAAGTCCTTATAATATCTAGGTTCTCAATAGTCCAAATACCCAGAATTTTCCAACAAAACTACCAAATACTAATATTTATTATCATCCAACGATCTTTAATTGGGAATTAGGACTTTCTAGTTTGGTAAAAGTGGTAAGAATAGAAGCTTGTTGGTCATGGAACTCAGGGTCTTGTGACTTAAAGTCTTTGTCATTGGGCCAGGCATTGAAGGGTTAGTAAGAGCACAAACAGAAATTGTTCTCTTTCACTGATAAGGAGTCAGGATAATAATAAATCAGGGTAATAATAAATATTGAAAACAGTTAAAAGCTATTGTGGCTTTTTGAATATAGATGCTGAAATAATTTTTGTCACCTTAGTAAAACCTTTGTTAAAAAAGGAAATGTATATTGAGAGCTTCAGTTCAGTTCAGTCACTCAGTCGTGTCTGACTCTTTGTGACTCCATGAACTGCAGCATGCCAGGCCTCCCTGTCCATCACCAACTCCCAGAGTTTACTCAAACTCATGTCCATTGAGTCGGTGATGTCATCCAACCATCTCATCCTCTTTCATCCCCTTCTCCTCCCGCCTTCAATCTTTCCCAGCATCAGGGTCTTTTCCAGTGAGTCAGTTCTTTGCATCCAGTGGCCAAAGTATTGGAGTTTCAGCATCAGTCCTTCCAATGAATATTCAGGAGTGATTTCCTTTAGGATGGACTGGTTGGATCTCCTTGCAGTCCCAGGGACTCTCAAGAGTCTTCTCCAATACCATAGTTCAAAAGCATCAATTCTTTGGCACTCAGCTTTCTTTATAGTCTAACTCTCATATCCATACATGACTACTAGAAAAACCATACCTTTGACTAGATGGACCTTTGTTGGCAAAGTAATGTCTCTGCTTTTTAATATGCTGTCTAGGTTGGTCATAACTTTTCTTCCAAGGAGCAAGTGTCTTTTAATTTCATGGCTGCAGTCCCCATCTGCAGTGATCTGGAGCCCCCAAAAATAAAGTCTGACACTGTTTCCACTGTTTCTCCATCTATTTCCCATGAAGTGATGGGACCAGATGCCATGATCTTAGTCTTCTGAATGAAAAACTTAAGAGCTTACAGTGGACCAAATATTATTCAAACATTCTAAGTTCCAAGTAATGAACTCATGTTCACTGTAAAGGAGCCAGTAATTTATGAACTGAGACATGACGAAAATAGATAACTTACCCAAGGTCACCCAGTTGTTAATTGGTAGAACCAAGATTTGAACAGTCTGGTAGAAAAGTCTAAGCTCTTCCTCTTTACGTGACTTAGGAAAACAGCACTCTAGGATTCTCTGAGGTGGTCAAGTCTGCTGTAAGGGTGTTTTATTTTGAAGTCTTCTGAAATATTTGTTGTTTTAACATACAGTTCTCCCACATTATTTTCCTACTTATTATTTTTAGTATTACTACCACCACCAAGGGTCTTCCCTGGCAGCTCGGTGGTAAAGAATCTGCCTGCCAGTGCAGGAGATGCAGGAGACAGAGGTTCAGTCTCTGAGTTGGGAAGATCCCCTGAGGAAGGAAATGGCAACCCATTCCAGCATTCTTGCCTGAAAAATTCCACGGACAGTGGAGCCTGGTGGTGTCGCAAAGAGTCAGATGTGACTGAGTGACTGAGCATGCATGCATACCACCACCAATGAATAATTCATTAGAATCCTTTAAGGAGAAGTGGCTGCAAAGAAGGGGATGCTTTGGAGATGAAGAGAGGAAAGATCACTTTTATGGCCACAGTTTGATTACCTTAGTCTTGGCCAACTTTTTCTTTGGTTATTGGAACCCAAAGATGATTTAAGTGGCTTGTAACCTTACCACCTCTAATCCACCACATACCTCAAAATTTCATGCTTATTTGACAGTGTCTTTGTGAATCAATAGCATTACCTCCCCCCTTGAAACACTTGCACATATTCATAAATAGTTAAAAACACTTGAATTTATAAATCATCTTTCCTAAAAATATATTAGAAAACTTTTTATATATAGCAATTCAATGTATTTTAAAACATTGACTTTATATAGCTTTGTTTAATATATTTTAATATTATTATTTGTTTAAAATACATGAAAATACAAATTATAGTACTGCTGTAAAACATTAAAAATATATCAGGTTTTAGAAGGTAATGTTTGGCTTGTTTTAAATGTACCAGCATGCTGACTGTTGTGTGCGGGACAGAGCTTTTTCTCTTTGAAATCTAGCAGTGCCCTCTAGAGTGAAAGGTTTATAGAACTTGATAAAGGAGATGTTTCACACTGTCCTGTATTCTTGATCCCCTACCATTCCAAGGGACAGCTTGTTACATGTCAAAGAGCAGAACCTACGTTTTTTTGTTCTGAGTAAATGTTCTTTTCAAGGATGCTGTTTAGGTGACTTGAACAAAATAGAAATAAACTTGTTCATTATTTTGTTGGTCATTTGCACATTTTTTTCTCATATTCTTGTGAAACCAGCTGTAAATAATTATATCTTAAAATTCATATCTTTATAATGTTAATAGAACATTATATGTTCAATGTTATAATTGAACATTTTGTTGACCAATATAACAGGGCTAAATTTACTGAATGCCTATTATATATATGATACTGCATTTTGTATTGAGGAGTACTTGATAATTCGGGAATAGACCACATTCCTGGTAATAGTTACACATTTATTTCCACTTGTCTAATGTGTCAGAGTGTGACACATATTGGCTCTTGTATTAAAATTGTCTATATTAAATTAACTAAGAATATTACTATTAATATACGTCCCTTCTTTATTACAGAAGAAAATACTCAGGAACCATCACAGGTGAAGAAAAGTTTGAGTGAGAAAGTTTCTCTGTATAGAGGTGACATCACATTGCTAGAGGTGGATGCTATAGTCAATGCGGGTGAGTAGTTGATATTTTGTGATGTGTTTGTTATACTGTTGCCCTAAATCTGGGTTTGCGTCTTAGGTATCAGGCCAAAAGATACAACCAAGCCAAAAATTGAGAGAAAGAAAGATTTATTACTTACAGCAAGTAAGAAGAACACTGGGGATCTTTTCCAAAGCAGTGTTTCCCAGAATAGTAAGATTGGGGAATTTTTATGCTAAGGGTACTTGTATACTCATGAAAGGGCTTGAGCAGGGGAGAATTCAGCTTAGAGCTGGGGCAAAGGTTGACAGAGCCCAAGTTTTAGTTGGTTGAAGTCAGAAAAGGTCATTATCATCTTTCCATGCTCCATCCCGCCTAACTCACACAAATTGTTATATGTATGCCTTAAGGAGGAACGAGGACTCTGTTTCACTGCTAAACTATTGTTTCTTGACTGTTCCTCCTTTGTTCCTGCATTCCTCCACTTCCGGCAAGATCAGTAATTACTGAGATGTATTCAAGGGCAAGCACTGTTACCCAGGCTTAGATCACAAAATGACTTAGGCCAGAAATGACTTCTTTAAAATCAAGAAAGCCATGCCTGATTCTCTTTCTCTGGGGACCCTATACCCCATCTGCTTGCAGTACAAAATATTTATTGTTTAAAAATATTTTTTCATAAATAGGAATATAAGTATTTAAGAAAAAATACCCTTCCAGAGATAGAAATGTCATGTATTAAAGACATTGAGCATTTGTTTTATGTATGTGCTGCAGTTAATGTGCTAACTCTACATGGTATCCATGCTAAGTTGTAACTAGGGTACTGGACCCCTGGAAAAGTAACAGGTTGTTGCAGAAAGTTCCTTAGAAAGAACTTTAGCAGCTGTATTATTGTTGATTTAATGCTTCAGTTAATAGTTGGCCAACATAAAAGCAAGTTCATTAAGCTTTTCCTTCTTTTGACTTTGTAAAGAGATGTTTGATCTACACCAGACAGAAGTAAAATATAAAGAAATTATTTCTATAGTTTCCAAACTCAGTTGCTTGGTTTCAGCTGTTTATGTTTGTTTTTAATGGTTTATTTTATGATTAATGAGCTTATAATTTGGGGTTTCAAACATTGGGAAAATAACAATGTTAAATTTTAATTTTAGTTTATTTTATAGTGGTCTGTATCTTTTATATATTTTACCATGTGACTGTATCTTAAGAAATACATTATGTTTGTGATTCTATAAAAATAAATAACAGTAATTGGATATTTCATAATTTTATTTTATTTTATTTTATTTTTTTTATTTCATAATTTTAATTTGTGTTCTGTAAAGTTAGGCTCTTTACAAGTTAAAAGGTTTAAAAACAAATGCAGACTTAGGTAAAGAGAAGCATTATTCAAAAAGATTATTACAAACAAGGGGTGGAGAATTATCTCAGTAGGAGGAGAAAGAATACTGCGATAGGAAGAACCACTTTGACTATGAGATAAGCAAGCATCTCAAAGTTCAAGCAGAAAAGGACATTTTTTTTTACAGAGAGGCGTGAACAGGATGTGGGTGGCAAGATTGGACAGTTGATCAGGGAACATTTTTCCTTGAGGCCAGCTTATTTTGGAAGGGGTTATTAAAGAGGGGTTGTTCACCTTCCATTGCTCAAGGGTAGGTCAGAGTTCAGGGGCTTGGAGGAAGGAAAGAAGGCTGAATAAAGTTTGGTCAAGTCTGGTTAATAGGCATTGATCAACCATTCTGGCTTGATGGGTACAAATAGTTCAGCTAATCATTTATGAGACAAAGAGTGGGAATTTGGAGAGTCTGTGCCTTGGTCTTGTCATAGGATACAAGGGGTCATTGGGAGTTTTATCTCAGTCATACGGGGAAGACTAGCTCTAAAGGCAGTAAGCTGTTTTCCAGAACACAGAAGGGTGGGGGTTAATTTCTTGACAGACCTTGCTTTCCAGGAATACAGAAGTTAGTTAGAGCTCAGTGTTGTCTCACGTTTCACTCTGGTGATGTGTAAAGTCAAATGACATAGTAGGAACGCTCCTTGGTGTGTGCCCTAAATTCCATAAACGTGAGCTTTAATTTAAAGAAATTAATTTTTTAATTAAAAACTATATATACGTTGGGACTTCCCTGGTGACTGAGACAGTAAAGAATCTGCCTGCAATGTGAGAGACCTAGATTTGATCCCTGGGTCTGGAAGATCCCCTGGAGAAGAAAATAGGCAACCCACTCCAGTATTGCTGCCTGGAGAATTCCATGGACAGAGGAGCCTGGCAGGCTTATAGTCCATCAGGTTGCAAAGACTTGGACATGGCTGAGTGACTAACAGTTTCATACTATCTGTACATCACTGGATCTCCTCTATATTGTTGCAATTTCTAGTCATTGATCCCAGTTCTGCCATATGGAGTACAGTTGTTGACATTTATTTCCTTCTTAAATGCCTTAAGACTACTCTCATGAGTTTTCTCTTTCTTGTTATTAACATAACATTGAATTTGCCTTGATAGCATACTTAATAATTCTAGTAATTATGGTTTTCTTTGAGTTTTGTTAACTGTATACTCATTTATCTCTCCGTTGAAGCTATAGACTGGTGTTTTTTCCACTTTTGGTGTAATTTCTCAAAGTAGTGTCTTGTCCTTATGTTCTTAATAAACACCTGGTCCTCTGTATTTGTTAAATTGAACTACACAATTGAGTTTGTAGCATCTTTGACCCATAGCACATTCAACAATGGGGACTTGACACAGTGAACACAATTTGGCTTATTTAAGAAAAACAATTTATTTGATCAAGAAATAAAAATAATTTTAGTGAAATAAAATGGTGCTAAAGAGAAAGCATCATTAACAGGAAAACATCTCATTACTCTTTTGATTCTTTGTCCTTGCTTGTGTAATTTTTTCATAGCTGTCACATAGTGTACAAGAGTTTGACGAATTTATACAAAGGCAGGCAGCAACTCCAAAAGCCATTTGGCACTGTTGGCTTACCTCTCGGGCTGAGGTAATTATAGTTTGGCCGTGTTCTGCATCTCCCAAGGACAGCCTCGTCAGGAAGTTCTTAGGTACATGGAAAGAGCTGCCAAAGGTGCAGTGTGATGACTTTATTTGCAGCTTTCTGCCGTGCTGCTTCGTTTGCCTGGTGTGTCAGGAGAGGAACAGCTGTTAGCTTTCAGGGGAACAAGGCGACATGGCAGGAAACTCAGGAGCTGCCTCTGGTGAGGGGGAGTGGGAGGCGGTGCGCCCAGCCAAGCTGCCACAGCAGCCGCGTCAGCACTCTCTGCTGTGTAAGTTCTCTTCCCATGTCTCCGTTAGTGCGTTGGAACACCTGGTGGTCGTGAATGAAAGGATTTGATATTTAAAATTTTTCCCAGCCAAGTGCTTTCCAAACTTCAGTCTTGCAGTTCAGTCACTCAGTCGTGTCCGACTTTGTGATCCCATGGACGCCAGGCTTTCCTGTTGATCACCAACTCCCAGAGTTTACTCAGACTCATGTCCATTGAGTCAGTGATGCCATCCAACCATCTCATCCTCTGTTGTCCCCTTCTCTGCCTGTCTTCAATCTTTCCAAGCATCAGGATCTTTTCCAGTGAGTCAGTTCTTTGCATCAGGTGACCAAAGTATTGGAGTTTAAGCTTCAGCATTAGTCCTTCCAGTGAATATTTAGGCCTGATTTCCTTCAGGATTGACTGGTTTGATCTCCTTGCAGACCAAGGGACTCTCAAGAGTCTTCTCCAACATCACAGTTCAAAAGCATCAATTCTTCAGCTCTCAGCTTTCGTTATGGTCCAACTCACATCCATACATGACTACTGGAAAAACTATAGCTTTGACTGGATGGACCTTTGTTGGCAAAGTAATGTCTCTGTTTTTTAATAAGCTATCTAGTTTGGTCATAAGTTTTCTTCCAAGGAGCAAGTGTCTTTTAATTTCATGGTTGCAGTCACCGTCTGCAGTGATTTTGTAGCCCCCCAAAATAAAATCTCTCAGTGTTTCCATTGTTTCCTCATCTATTTGCCATGAAGTGATGGGACTGGATGCCATGATCTTAGTTTTCTGAATGTTGAGTTTTAAGCCAACTTTTTCACTCTCCTCTTTCAATTTCATCAAAAGGCTCTTTAGTTCTTCTTCACTCTCTGCCATAAGGGTGGTGTCATCTGCATATATGAGGTTATTGATATTTCTTCTGGCAATCTTGATTCCAGCTTGTGCTTCTTCCAGCCCAGTGTTTCTCATGATGTACTCTGCATATAAGTTCAATAAGCAGGGTGACAATATACAGCCTTGATGTACTCCTTTTCCTATTTGGAACCAGTCTGTTGTTCCATGTCCAGTTCTAACTGTTGCTTCCTGACCTGCATACAGGTTTTTCAAGAGGCAGGTCAGGTAGTCTGGTATTCCCTTCTCTGTCAGAATTTTCCATAGTTTATTGTGATCCACACAGTCAAAGGCTTTGCCATAGTCAATAAAGTAGAAGTAGGTATGTTTATGGAACTCCCTTGCTTTTTCTATGATCCAGCAGTTGTTGTCAATTTGATCTCTGGTTCTTCTGCCTTTTCTAAATACACCTTGAACATCTGAAAGTTCATGGTTCACGTACTGTTAAAGTCTGGCTTGGAGAATTTTGAGCATTACTTTGCTAGCGTGTGAGATGAGTGCAATTGTGAGGCAGTTTGAGCATTCTTTGGCATTGCCTTTCTTGGGGATTGGAATAAAAACTGACCTTTTCCAGTCCTGTGGCCACTACTGAGTTTTCCAAATTTGCTGGCATATTGAGTGTAGCGCTTTCACTGTATCATCTTTCAGGATTTGAAATAGCTCAACTGGAATTCCATCACCTTTACTAGCTTTGTTCATAGTGATGCTTCCTAAGGCCCATTTGACTTCACATTCCAGGATGTCTGGCTCTAGGTGAGTGATCACACCATCATGATTATCTGGGTGGTGAAGATCTTTTTTGTATAGTTCTTCTGTGTATTCTTGCCACCTCTTCTTAATATCTTCTGCTTCTGTTAGGTCTCTACTG